AGTTGGGTTTCGTTAGGTTTATTTACAAAATTAGTTAGTTGGTGCCTTAGCACAGAACGGATATGGTATTATAGGCTCTGTCCCCATTGAATGCCAGAAAAAAAATTATGGAGAAGCCAAAACAGAATTGTAAGCTTCCTAGAAGCAGGTAAACATTAACTCTGGGTATATGGGATGTAATGACTATAGCGTCTTTAGAATGACATTGTGTGCTAAGGTGCAGGGTCAAGGATGCCATGTCTTTAGGATAATTAGAAATTTGCCTGTTGTATATTTTCCCCCTTCCCTTGTATTTCTCCACCCCTAGCACAGCAGCATGATGTCACCAGTCCATTCCCTTTTCATGATTGCCTATCGTTCCAGATGCCAAAAGCAAGTTTTTTTACACCCATTCCTCCCCTGAGCTAATCAGATTCATAAAGTCCAAAATGAAATGGCTCTATTTGGGATTTGCATCCCACTGCCCTTTTATAGAAAATGCAGTAGCATATTATGCCACCTTGCTACCCCCTTATGTTGTGGAATCATAATGCCTACTCCCCCAAACTGAGGCTGTTCTTAGAGATTTCTGAACAATATCAAGTACTTGGTAACAAACCCTGATGATGTATCTTTAGACATGTATTGATCTTCGTCTACCTTGGAAGAAAAAATGCAAAACATCCTTTTACGGATGACTTCCGAGATAACTTCATGGTTTTTCCCAGTCAGGGTCAGATCAACAAAGCCATGTTTCTACTACATGATGGATTTCCTTGCAGACCTTAGGCTCTCTCTGTATTGTGACATCGGCCGGTCCTTATTTAATAATCATTTATCATCGCCATGATAACTGAACCTCCAAAAATCACTGGCAATCTGCACAGTCTCTAAGGGGTGTAATTGTGGGTGCTGAAGAAGAAGGAAGCATGAAATCCGATTCAAGGGGAGCTGAAGATGTATCTTCATCAGTACCATCTACCATGTTTTCATCATGCACCCCAAATTTAGATGCCACCTTCTTCCCTGAATGACTTCTTCCAGGGGTGGTTGGACAAGGCTGTTTTGTTAGCAATTTTTGTTCCTAATCCTATATGTTATGTGAAAAATAATAATTTTCTGCTAACTACTTTTGCTTGTAGAAGGTTAAAAACATTTTTTTAAAAAAAAAAAAAGAAAAGATGGTGTTATCCTTCCTAGCCTACACTGACCACACACTTGCCATTCTCCTGCCTTGGCTGTCTGAGTACTGGGATAAGAAGCACATCCATTATAATGTAATTGAAGAAAGGTTTCATATGTAAAATATGTAGCATGATGTTTTGAAATATGCATGCATCTGGGAACTGCTCAACTGAGTTAAGTAATATAGTACCCCACAGATGTTTCTATGTGTGTTGGGAGCACTTCAAATCTATTTTTAGTGAGTTTTCAAAAATTCCTGTGTGCTATTGTAAACTATAGTCCCTTTATTCAATGCATAGCTCAGGAGCGTATTTATCCAAAATAAAACTTTACCCTTTGAACACATTCCCCGTGTTCCCTAACTCCTCCTTCCATCCCCAACCCCTGTACCATGTTGTCCTCTTTGGGGTTCAGCATTTCAGACTGGACATCTGAGAGGGTTCTGCCTGTGCCTGGCCTACTTCCCTCCCCACATGGTTCTTTGGTTTCTTCCATGCTGTTGCAAAGGTCAGAGTTTCTTCTGCTTCAAGGCTGATAGCATTGCAGCTTTTGTTTACACCTCATTGTCCTTATCCACACATCTGTTGACTGAAACTTAAGTTGTTCTGTCTCTGGGATCATGTGACAAATGCTGCAATGAACATTTACTTCTAGATAACTCACCAGCAGGCGAATTTTATTTTAATTTTAATTTGCACCCAGTATGGGATTGCTGGATTCTGAACTGTCTGTGCCAAGTTACACTCCCACCAATGGCCTTCAAAGCTTCCCATTTTTCCACGTCCTTGCCAGTGCATTATCTTTTGATAGTAGTATTCTTAAAGCGGTGGCATCATTTCTCAGTGTGCCTTAATCTGTATTTCTCTGGTAGTTAGTAATAGGTGAGCCTTTTTCATATATCTGTTGGTTATCTGTGTGATATCTCTTGAGACATCTCCTTGATCTCTTCTGCCTGTTATTTATTTGGGTTCCTTGTTTTCCTGCTGTTGAGTCGTTTGAGCTCCCTATATGCTTCGTGTACTAACTACTTGCATGACATGTAGCCTATGGATACTTCCTCCCATCCCATTTGTTGCTGTTGTTGCTTCTCTGCTGATTGGCTCTTTGGATGTGTGGATATTTAGCTTGCTATCTTTTCTATTGGTTCTTTTTCGTGTCTCTGTTTCAGGTCATAAAGCAATCACACCCATACCCGTATGCACATGGGCAGCACTAACTGGGCTAAGTGGGTTATGTTGGGTATGGAGAGAAGAGGATAAGGAATTGGGAGGGAAATGTGAAGTGGTGGTCTGGGCGAAGCTGAGGGATAGCAGGAGTGAATCTGATCAGAACACGTATAGATATACGAAATTCTCCAAGGATAGATACATAATAAAAATAAAAAATCATGACTTATTTCAATGTCAGGGAGATGTGACTCTGTTTCCCTCCAGTACTTTTACAGCTTCGGGCCCTACGCTTAGGAATTTAATCCACTTAGCGTTTCTATATGCAATGAAAGAGGCTCAATTTCATCTCCTGCACCTAGATGCCCAATTGCCCCAGCATCATATTTTAAAGAAGCAATCTTCTCACAATGTGTATTTTTGGCATGTTTGTTGAGGATCAATTGACTGTTAAAAGTGTTAGTTTATTTCAGGGCTTTCTAGTATATTCCGTTGGCTTAAATGTCTGTTTTTATGGCAGCCCCATGCTGTGTTGATTGCTTATAGCTTTATATATTTTGAAGTTAGGGAACCTGATATTTCCAATAGCTTTATTCTTTTTAATGTAGGTTTTTTTTCCTACTACATTATGAATTTTAAGGATTTTTTTTTCTATTTTGGTGGAAACAACATGACAATTTTGATAGGAATTTTTATTGAATCTGTAGATTACCTTGGGCGGTATGTGCATTCTAATAACATGAGTCTAAGGACATGGAAAATCTGATGCTTCCTTCAGTTTCTTTTGCTATTTTGTAGGTTTCATTGCACAAGTCTTAATATATACCTATACATATATCTATAAAACATATTCTCTAGATCCCTTATTAATGAGATTGGTTTCGTGGTTTCTTTTTTAGATAATCTGTTACTAGCATTCACAGGGTGTGTGAGCCTATGAATGATAGTAAGAGATTATCTAAAATTATTAACTGCCTAGCAACAGTTTTCAAATGTGAATGGCATGAAACCAGAGCTGTGCAGAAAACAGAGATATATACCAAGACTGACCTTCCGCCATCTGTAGAATCTTGTTATTGGCAATGTATGTCTCCTTCCCCCTTCCTCATGTCAGGAGGCCAAGACTCACCTTTGTGAAGCAGTCACCATCCACTGGAGGTTCCAAATTGATGGCAAAGTGAGATGAATACCCTGGCATGGTGGTACAGTCCTATGGCCCTAAAGCTGAAGATTTCAAGGGCAGCATGGGCTAGATAGAGAACTCCAGACCAGCCTTGGATATACAGTGAGACCTTGTCTCAAAACTAAATAAATCAAAATAATACATTACAGTTGAGATACGGATCCATTGTGTTTCAACTCTGCACCATGATTCTTGCTTGAGGGACTTATCTGTGTCCCTTGATTTAGGCAAAGCATGGTTAGCGAATCCTTAATTCTTTCTATTGCACTGTATGAGAGAGACCTAAACTTCTGCCAGTTGTTACAAAGTTCAATTAGAAGTCGCATTCCTGCTTCTACGGGATAAATTTTAGCTTTATGATCTTTATTTCTTTGACTTCTTTTTTGAGAGGGTAGTAGATTTGTATAATGTCATGTCGTTCATGTTGTGATAAATCCATTGTCTTTTATGGTATCTTTCCTTAATGTCATTAAATACACACAAGTTAAGTGGCATTTAACTTGCTAAACTCTAAAATCACAAAACGTGGAATCTTCATCACCTGCTGAAGAAGGTAAACAGAGATACAGTGCCTAGATTGCCTGTGTACCCTACACCTGACATAAAAGGCTTTCTGATGTGTAAAGCTTACCACTGTCTTATAAAAGGGATGACTGAGCTAGTCGTGTTAAGACATCTTTCCCAATGTGAGCTTCAACTGATTTGAAAATGGGACTGGTTACAAAGACCACGGTCTGCTACCATGCCAGCCTATACCGTGCTACTGTCTCAGAAGTAACCTCTATTAAAGATATAAAAAAGAATTAGCTTGAGTTCATGGACCATTGCTAATAAAAACAGAGACTATTATCCCAGTTGCAAGCTAGGCTCCCCTGTCCTCTTGGTAACAGAATCACCAATTCCAGCATTAGGTATGCCGTCAAGAAACCTGGGGAAAGGCAGGTAAGAGAAGGGGGTTGAAAAAAATATGTAAGATTTACATCTCAGTACCTGATGGCTTATAAAGGAAGTAAATGGAAGATATTTGGCTTAGTTTTTGTTAATTGAAGAAAAGTGGTATGGAGTACCAGCAAAAAGGTAAGTAAAGAGTATTCATATGGTGATAATGGCCAAATAAAGCAAAGAAATCAGAGTTCTGGGCTGGGAGTCACTTCCCCATCTCCCTGGTCATTGCAGCCATCACGGAATGAGAACCTTCATTTTGGCTTTCAAGCTAAAGTTGTCACGCAAGAAGAATACGTTAATTTCGTATCTTCTCATCCCTTTCTTTTGGGGATAAGCACTGGGGTTTTCTGCTGTTTATTATTTCAAAGGCATCTATATGCTAATACATTTTATGCTAATTATTTTCATGTTTGCCCCTCAGGTTATGCTTCGCATCACCCACCAGGGAGGATCATCTCTCATGAAAAACTTTCAAATTTGATTTTGAAAATTTATTCAGAAAAATTTAAGCCACGCTCTTTTTTTTTTTTTCCCAACACAAGAAATAATATGCTCTGGAGAACCTGCTAATTCACAGAAAATGGACTGGGCTAACATTCGGGTTCTCATCCTACCACAGTCCTCTTGAGAAGGACGGCCAGGTACACAAAGCATTTAACATTCTGACATTGAAATAATGGAAGTATGATTAAAATAGAAATCTAATAAGATACTTTGAGAAACCACTAAATTACTCTGTGTGGTCCAGGAAGGAGGAAAGGGCTGGTTTTATCTCTCTGCCATGCCTGGGATGGGTTATTGTTTCTCTTGCTGTAGTATGGTGTTTTAATTGTGTGCCATCATTTTTTTTTAGCATTATTTCTAAACAGTTAATTGTGATAGTGTTGATGCCTGCAGTTGAGACTGTGCATACAGGAAGGACTAGGAAAAGTAGAAATAAATAAATAAAAGCAGGACAAAAACTCCTGCAAGAAGCTAGCTTGATGTTTCTTACAGTACTTTCATGATGGAGATTTTCTCTGTGAAATTGTCATTTGTTTTAAGAGCAAATTGCCATTTGGAATAGAAATTATTCGATTAGCTTGTCTTTATAACATTTTTCAGGATGTTCCTCTTCTGAAGATAAATAGGCTTGATACATAATTCCTCAACAAAACGTATCGAATGTAGACAATTGGGGATAGAGTTTTACACTCCTTCCTGGGTGGAAATTGAACTCCTTTTGTTTCCAAGCACTTTGGGAGGACCAGAATGTCCTAGTACACTTTCCACATTGTTCTTAGTCTTGTTCTGTACTGGAGAAAAGCAATGAGCCTGAAATACTGCAGGGAAGAGGGGGTAGCCATCCTGCAGATTCCAGTTCATTCTGTGATCAGCCTCTTCTTCACCGGTTTCTCTCTGCACCTTCCACCAGCTGTGCCTGAACGCCTTTCTGTATTTTCTATGCTCCCACTCTGAGTAACAGCGTTTAGCCCGAACTGCAACCCATCTTTTGGAATATCTTCTACTGACTGGCTTATTTTAATGGCCCTTGAGCTCCAAGGTACCTTTGTTCAGTAGGAAAGTGTCTTTTCAGGCTTGGGGAAAGAAAGGTCCCTTTCTAGAAAGAGACCTGATACCTTAAGGAAACTCTCTTCAAATGGAGTACAGAGAGAGAGGAAGCCAACAAAAGGCAGGTGACGATAGCTACAAGAACAACGTTTGCCAGACAGCCAAGCAATATTTACATTTTTAGCCATAATCTCTATAAACAAGATGAACCGTTGCTGGGACTATGTTAGTAAAGCAGCTATAACAAATGTTTGTCCAGTAATGATAAAATAGTATTCTGTTGCAATCTGACAATGTATAATGCATTTTGCTCCAGTCAAAGACCCGTGTTATTATTTTATGTGGTAAACTCCAGTGACCCATCATTGTTATCATTTTATTCTACCTACTTACCCAATCACAAAATAGCTGCACATTTCCCCTTGAAAGTTGGGACTCAAGAATGATTTATGAAACTACCACAGGAGCCCTAATATAGCTTCAGCGAATAAGTCCTTTCTTCTCATCGACTTGATTGTTTTCAGTGAATAACTCAAACATAACCCAAATAAGAACAACAATCTGTGTGTCATTAGGCACCAGCATTTAGCAGCTGCTGCTTCTGAACCATGAACCACACACCCTGATCAAGAACACTGCTAGGATTGTATTGTATTCCTTGTGAGCTGAGTTCCACAAGCACGGGAAACAGAGAGAGCTACACAGTTTGTCTACAATTGCTGGAGCTGAGGTAAAGTTTCAGAGGCCCTGGCTTCACTGCCGAGAGCAGTAAAGTTGGCTCAGCACACTCCTCAGGGTGTGCAAAATGCAGTGTGACTGGGGACTAGCCTTCCTGGCTCTGCCCTGCCTGTGGAACATGGTTTGAAGCTTCGAGCTTTGGGAAAATAAACAAGCCCTGGTCTGAGTCCCAGCTTGAATACCCTCACATGTTCAAATCTCCTGGCCTCCCCCAGCCCCATTCTTTTTTTTTAATTTTTTATTTTACTCTTTATTTTTATTTATTATTTTTTTCCTTTTTTTTATTTTTTAATTTATTTATTTATTAAGGATTTCTGCCTCCTCCCCGCCACCGCCTCCCATTTCCCTCCCCCTCCCCCGATAAAGTCCCCCTCCCTCATCAGCTCAAAGAGCAATCAGGGTTCCCTGGCCTGTGGGAAGCCCAAGGTCTGCCCACCTCCATCCAGGTCTAGTAAGGTGAGCATCCAAACTGCCTAGGCTCCCCCAAAGCCAGTACGTGCAGTAGAATCGAAAACCCACTGCCATTGTTCTTGAGTTCTCAGTAGTCCTCATTGTCCGCTATGTTCAGAGAGTCCGGTTTTATCCCATGCTTTTTCAGACCCAGGCCAGCTGGCCTTGGTGAGTTCCCGATAGAACATCCCCATTGTCTCAGTGTGGGGGTGTACCCCTCGCGGTCCTGAGTTCCTTGCTTGTGCTCCCTCTCCTTCTGCTCCTGATTTGGACCTTGAGATTTCTGTCCGGTGCTCCAATGTGGGTCTCTGTCTCTGTCTCCTTTCATCGCCTGATGAGGGTTAATATTCAGGAGGATGCCTATATGTTTGACTTTGGATTCACCTTCTTATTTAGCTTCTCTAGGACCGTGAATTATAAGCTCAGTGCCCTTTATTTATGGCTAGAAACCAAATATTAGTGAGTACATCCCATGTTCCTCTTTTTGGGTCTGGCTTACCTCACTCAGGATAGTGTTTTCTATTTCCATCCATTTGTGTGCAAAATTCAAGAAGGCCTTGTTTTTTACTCCCCAGCCCCATTCTTGAGTTCAGTTTGCTGAAATTATCTGTGAGAACTCAATAGGACTTGGACAATGTGTTTTTTGAATGCGCCCCACAGTAGATGCTCAATAGACAATACTATTAAATATTATCTTCTGTTATCATTGCTATTTTAATATGAATGACTTGCTTTTTGGCTATTAAACTTGCTTTTTGGCTATTAATGATATTCACAGGTAAGAGACTTGGATTTTTCTCGAGTGATATTAGCAGTGCAAGGAGATGGATGCCAAACACTTTCTTTTGCAAGGAAAATGGTAAAAAAGAAAAATGTAGGAAGTTTCTTATGTTAAACATGATCTAGTGGAGGCCTATATCACAAAGGTCTAGTGTGACCTATGAACTTTATTAAACACAAGGTAGAAATTTAAAAATGCCATCATATTTTATTGCTTATCACTAACCAATACCAAATATTCAGGTGATCCTGAAAGAAAGGCAATTACAACCAAGAACTTTCTGCCCTCGCTGCCAAGCATCCAGATGTCCAACTAATGAGCTTGCTTCATCCCTTTGTGAAGGGCACTTGACATTATGCAAAGCCTCCTTGCGATTGGCCCCCTTGGTTGCTGGTTGTGGTGGTCTGTGGGTAACGGGGCTATAGAACTAACTGATCAGCATGAAGGCTGTCCCTAGGAAACAACGGTCTGCTGGATGAAAGGCTCTAGTGAGCCATCAAGATGCCCCCGTGGGTCCAGAACATCTTAGAAAGGCATGCAGACAGGTCTCAGGGCCCTTAAAAAAGTTTATCTCTGCTTCTAAATAAGAGTAAACAGGATTGGGTTCACTTCCCCACAGAAAGAGAAGTCAGATGCTAATTAAAACTTTGCAGCGCTGTAAAGTAACGTGGCGTTCTGTATTGAAAAGTCAGCTTTAACTTCTAATTGGATGCCCACAAAAAAGGAGAGGCAGAAAAGCAGGGGGGAAAAGACCCACAAATATATTCACTAACAAAGGTTCTTATTCTACACCAATCTCATTTAAAGGGAGAAATCTTCGTTTTCCCTTTGTCTTGGGGAAGATTTTAATGACAGTCGAATCTTTAGTAGAATAGTCTTGTCAATGGAGATTGGTTATGCTTTGTTTAATTTCACTCTCCACATATATAGCGGCAGAAAGCTGGTGCTCGCACGCGGTTGCACTCCCTGGCATTTCATCTTAATCATTTCCCCGAAGTAAACATAGGTTTCCCTGTGCTTAGCATATAGTAGAAGTGAACTAAATAGCAATTACTGGGAAACAGCCACAGTCGAGTTACACTGATGCCTCCCGGTGCTGCCCTTCCGTTTCATCAGCCCGCAGAGGGAAGATGGAGAGATTTCTCTTCAAATGGGCAAGACTTGGAATTTTTCACAGTCACCAGCCAGAGAACAGAGTCAGAGAGGTTTTCATTTGTAAGATTGCCTTTCTCTTATCTGGTGGTCTTGTCTCCCAGACCGTCTGTCCGTCTCTAGAAAGCATAGTCAATAAAAAATGATGAGAGTCGGCATCTCACGCTCATACACCCTTAAAGCATGAAGCAGTGGTGTGCGGGAAATATTTTTCTGACCTTTTCAAATTGCATCCAACTGTCTCGGGAATTTCTCAGGGACGCGAGGTAATAAGGTTCAATCCGTTTTACCGTCTGCCTTCAAATTTAGTTCCTCTGGAGCTCCGGAGCTGGAACTTCTCTATTCCTTGCATCCTGACCCTGGCATCAAGTCTGTACAGAAATCCATGCATCTCATCTTTTTTTCCACTCCATCTCAGTTTTTTTTCTCTTTTATCACAATATGGAATCTACAACCATGTCGGATTTCCACATACTGCCCCCTTCAAAAACCAAATGTTAACCTGAGACGAATTTGATTATGTAGTCCTTTGAGAAGCCCTTGTTGAATTTAATTAGCTTTTAAATTTCATTCTCTTCTTAAATCTCAGGTTTTTACCTGTGTGATTTGTTCCCTCAGTTGGCTTTATAAAAAAAAAAAAACTTTTTCAACTTAACTACACTGTGGGCACTCTTTAAAAAAAAAATACAAAGGAAGCAAAATCATGGGAGTTTCTTTTGTTCTGATTGATTTTTGCTTTTCTTCCGGGAGTCCAAATGGAACGGACAAGCTCTTTGGCAAGGAAAGGAATTACCCAAGTGTGACATGTTAAAAAGGCAGCTGAGTGGTCCCATTCTTCACTGTTCTCCTTAAAGGAGAACGGAAAACAGAAGCTGGGGACATTAGTGTTTTTTTTTTTCAACCTCTTGAAAGCTCCTGATGTCCAGAAGCCTTGGCAAGAAGTCAAGAGCTTCAGAGGCTTTCAGACTCATGGCTTCCCATATGGTATGGGCCTCTGGAGTTGTAGGACATTCCCGATCCAACAACTCACTCTCTTCCATCATCCCATCCCTTGTCCCTTCTTGCTCTCTGTAGAGAGTAGACTCTGGCTGGAATGATCTGTGGTGCCCAGAGGTGAGTCCATGGACCAATAGCCACCAGGAGGAGTTCAGCTTTTTTCAAGTTGCCCATCTTAGAATCTCTCCTTTCTTGTATAGTAGTTTGTTGAGCTTGATGACATCAGATCTATGGCTTCATAAACCTGTGTGGTTCCAGACAACCCTATTTAGAAAGCAGGCTTCAGGAAAGGGGATGAAGGGATCTGTTTTCCTATTTCGAGCAAAGGATATTGTTCTTCAAAAACTAGATCACGTGGATTTATACCAAAGTTCATCATCCAATTATCCATAATGTGGCTTTCTTTTCCATTTAAACAATGCCTAATTTGGGGAGGGGCATAAAATAAATACATGGTCTTCAGAGTGTGTTTAAGTGCAAGCTGCTATTTTGTCATTTGGAACTGAATTCTTCTTAGTAGTGGTGTTCAGTGTCCTTTGACAACCTGGACACGGTCAGCTGGCACTTCAGAAGAGATGACATAAAAAAGTAGGATTCCTATCCACCCACTATTTGAAGTAAGACTAGTGTCTTATCACCAGCTGGAGAGTAAAGGTTTTCACATGTAGTTAAAGCAGGTTGATTTCCGGAGGGGAGCTAATGCACACCCAAAGAGTGTAAATGTAGGTGTGCATGTGGGTCTCTGTGTGTCTAGCCATGTGGGAGGCATGCACACCACACTGAATTGGAGGATAAAAGGCAGCAATAACACAGCCCAGAGAACCCATTTTCTCCCCACGGATGCTTTCTTTTCCATCATTAGAAACTTGGCTGTGCCTTGTCTATGGGAACACAGAGTGCATGTCACTCTACTGAGTCATGCCTCTGTCTCATTCCTAAGACATCATTCTTGTCTATCTTCAGGACTGGTAAATAAAATGAAGTCACTAAATAGACTTGCCACTGAAATAGAGAAGTGTTTGGAATTGATTAGATTTAAAGCGGGTGAATTTGTACTGTGTTCGTCTACTTGACTGGGTGTCCTTAGAAATGTTGGGGGGAACTTTTAGAGGAAGAGGCACACAGGGGAAAGGAAGCCTAAATAACAATGCCAAGGATAATACTAACTGTTTCATAAAAGGTAACTGTCAAGCGTGTCATAGATGGTAAGACAGGGACAACGGTCTCACACAAAGGGAAGGAACTGAGCCTAGGGAGTTTGCAACTGAATTTGTTTTGAGGAGCAGAAAGAGGATTATTTTTACATGGAAAAGAACAAAAGTCACTCAGCTGTTCTGAGCGGCACATCCATGTTTCCTGATTCCGTCCCCCTCTTTCCCTTCTTCCCACATCTCCTCTTCTTTCTTTGTCTTATGCCTCTTTCCCTTTTTTCTTTTTCCAAAAAGAGAACAGAATAAAGCCAGAATGTTGAAGCATCCCATTTTTTTAAAGTGGGGCTCCCATGCTGGTTCTGCCAGAGAATTGCCTTCAGTAGAGCTACCAGCTTTAATGGTGGCCAAGAGTGCATTCACTTGCCCAGCTCTGTTTGTGTTGATATCTACCCAGGGTAAAGGGGGTAGGAGTGTGGGAAAAAATTTGAAGCAAGAGTGTGGCATTATCTATCTATCTATCTATCTATCTATACATTCATCATCTAGCTATCCATCCATCCATCCATCTATCCATCCTCTATCCATCCATCATCCTTCCATCATCTAGCTATCCATCCATCATCTATCTATCTATCTATCTATCTATCTATCTATCTATCTATCTATACATCTATCCATCCATCCATCATCTAGCTAGCTATCCAGCCAGCCAGCCATCTATTTATCCATTATCTATCTATCTATCTATCCATCATCTATCTACCTATCCAGCCATCCATCACCTATCTATCTATCTATCTATCTATCTATCTATCTATCTATCTATCTAATCTATGCATCCATCTATCTATCTATCTATCCATCCATTGTCTGTGTTTCTATCATCTATCTATCTATCTATCTATCTATCTATCTATTTGTCTATCTAGAACAACTATTTCTGTTTGAATAATGTTTGCCTATCATACAACTGAGAATTTGTTTTCTATTTGCCTCCAACATCTCTGTAACAAAAACAAACAGTCTTTATTGCAAAGCCAGGCTTATTACTGTGCTGTCCGCTCAATGGAAATATTGACACTCAGGGATTCAATTTTCCTATTATGACAATGTCTAATATGCTCCAAGATGTGGCTCAGGGACAGGGCTCCATTATTTATCAGGGTGAACTGGGACTCTTCGGGTTGCCACGGCATCGCTTAGGTTTATAAGCCAGGGTGGGCACCTGCCCAGAACATTGTGTGTTCCCAGGCACATCAGATGGGAACCTGATTCAAATTTAATCAGAGTGGCTGGATCTTGAAGGCTGTTGTCACCAACACTCACTGCACACACATTCTTTCTAAAGAGAGTGCTTGGAAAATCCAGTCACCATTTCACTGGAAACAAATACAGCCCTTTAAAAACAATGTCAGATCTACATAGAAAGAGCCAGCATAGTTTTAAATGCAAATGTAGAATTTGAAAGTGTCTCTCTCCCTCGCTTGTTCCCTCCTTCTCTCTCCCCTTGGGTTTAAGGTCTCTTAAATAAGCATACAGTCTCGGTCCAGGGTTCAGGAAAGACTGTACACTTTGCACAAGATCCCCATTGGCTGCCACTATCAACCTTCCTGGAAACACTCAAAATAATGTGAGCAAACGGGAATAAATCAACTCTCAAACTGCCTGTCACACCCAGCTCTTCCTCAGCCCTTTGCTTGCTGACAACAAGGCTCAGCCTGTGGTTTCAGAGCTGCACACCTGCCCATGTGCTGTGATCGGCTGGTAATCTCCCCTTGCTGTCAGGCTCCAGCAGTATTTATTTTGCCTTAATTGGAACCCCGCTGTCACCCTGCGGGATCCTCCCCCTTGGCAAGGCAATATATCCCTATAGACTGAGAGCACTTCTGCCATGGTTGGGTGTAATATTATATTCAGAAATAGCAGCATTGGGATCAGAATTGAACCACAACCTAGGTTAATGGAGTTTCTTGGTGTTTCTATTTTTGGGTTTGGTTTTGGTGATAGTATTAGGAACTCACGATTTTTTTTGTTTCTCCATGTTTATCTTCGAGGTTGAAACAGCACAGTGAAGGCTCATGTTGATCACGTTGCCAGAGTTTCTCCTGCTTTAGCTCATTAATCCATTGAGAATAGCTGTCAGCGTGTCCAGTTGTCACCCACCCTGAACTAGGAAGCAATCAGCACAGACAGTGCGTAGGACACTCTGTGCAGAAATAGCGCTCTTAGGTGTGCGCCTGTCCCCTCTCGCTTTCTACATGAGCCAACATGGCAAGATGGCTGCAAAGTCTTACTTTTCTTACAATTAAATGAGTTCAGATTTGCAACTCGAGCCTGTTGCTCTTAACTTTGGGCGTCAAAACAAGGTTTGTTCCCTTGGTCTCCGCGGACAGCCCTTTGTAGACGTTTGGTTTCAGCACATCTGCTTTTCTCTTGTGTTAATTTTATTTTCATCATTAAAGTTCATGAAGACTTAATCATTAGCCCTCTAATTTTCCAGGAAAAGGAAAAAAAAATGTTGATGTATTGAACTGGTTACAGCAAAAGAAGATCAATCTGACAGTGTAGGTTAATAGCGGGGAACAAAACACATTCATAATTAGGAGAGAAAGGACGTTCCTTGTTCCTTCCAGTTTGTAATAAAAAGCCCCTTGCCAAAGTGTCTTGGAAAATAATGCATTCAGACGGAGCTGAATTACCGCCCAGCACATTCTATTTATCTGTAGCTTACAAAGCAGCTGCGGTTTTTGTAAGAAGCGATGAATGTGGCATTCCTCCTTAAAGGTAGAGGAGAAAGAGCACCCCTTGTTTTGTAATAAGGGGATTTTCAATTTAAAAGAGAGAGCGGGCCTGTTGTGTGGAGTAGTGTTGTTACAGCCACTGTATTCTCTCTCGCCCACCAGGAGGCGAATAATGAAGGGGCCAGGGAAGGAGGCCAATACTACAAGGGTTATCTCCCCACCTCAGATGCTGGATAAGTTGAAGGAGGCAGACTCGCTTCTGGATGACATTCAGAAAGGCTGGAGCGATTATTTGGAAGAGAAAACCCTGCCTCTGTTTTCAAAGGTAAACAGTTTGTTTCATCTCTCAGTCACATGTGTTTGTACAAAAATATGTCTCTATAAAGATATCTATAAAGTCTGCCTTTAAAGAGTAGCATACGATCTTTTCAGGTACGTGAATATTGTCGAGACCTGCCCGTCTAAAGGTCCCGTCCTTAGAATCCTGCCTTAGACAAAGGATGCACTTGGAGCCCTACCACACCTAAAACCACGTTTTGAAGGATCTGCCAAGCTCACTTTTAATCATGAGGACGAAATTACCCACATGGAGGCAGCAGAAAATGAGAAAGTAGAGTTCGTGCCGCGATTAATTCCAGCGAGTGCCAAGGGGCTAGTTGAGGAATGGCTTCATGAGGTGAATATCTGTAGCTTGTACTTAGGGTTTGCTTAGCGTATAATCATTTTCTCTTCCAGGAGCGAATATGATCCTAAGTGTATTTCCCATCCAAGCAACGCTCAGGGCGTTTGTGAGGACATTGACAGATTTAATATCGGCCTCGCCCTTGCTGTTATTTATGATGACTAACGTTACATTTATAAATATGCAAAACTCAATTTAGGTGGCAAGGCTCTCTGAGCCCCATGTCTGTCCCCAGCCGTCTGTCTCCATGTGCAGTGCTGTGCTGTGTGGCATGCTCAGTAGTTTATGTCTCTGTGTATGTATGTGTTCTTGTTCTTGTCTCCACTCTGTCGTGAATGTACGTTGGGAGAATTAGCCAAATGATAGGCTCCCAAAAGATGGGACCCAAGAGACTTTCGTTTGATTTTTGGAAAAAGTATATATATATATATATTTAAAAAGTATCCCATTGTTTTCAAGTCATACCAAGACGGAGGGCACCAATTGGGTAGGAGTTATCACGTGACCAAACAACCAGGATTCAAATTGAACATCACTTTCAGTGTCAAATTAGTTTGAAGCCTCCTCCTTGATGATGGCTGCTTTAACCCCTGGATTTTTATTTGTTTAAAAAAAAAATCCCTGACTTCATTCCCAGGAGACTGCAGCTCTTCTTGGTTGCATTTTTTCTAAAGATTAGATCCAAGAAAAATACTTATTTACTCTACCAAGACTGTCATTACTTTCATGATTACCCCCCACGCCAAATATGTCATTTCTTTTGTGGGTCAAATTAATGTTTCATCAAGTAAGCGAACAAATAAATCATAGCATTTTTTTTCTTCTTCTTTTAAGGCTAATTTTGGTAGGGAGCAGTGACAGGGACAGGCCAGGGTCTTTGTGAGTCCCAGAGAAAGAATGCAGGAAAGACCACGTTGGTCTCCGTCTTTGTTTGCCCACACAAGCAAGTCCCAGGATCGCCATGCCAACCTTAAGCAATTTTGGCTCCCAGCAATCCTGTGCCCGAGTCTTTCAAACTACCCCCTCTAGCCTGCTGTAGAGGGCCAAGGCAAAGGCGCGTAGAAAGAATGCATTAACAGAAAATGCCAGGCTGTGTTCCCACTGATGTATGTGTTTGGTGCTACGATTTAAGCAGCACTTGGGTCCAAGATTGGATGATCCCCTTTGTGTGGTGTGGGGGTTCCTGATGAAAGGGAAGGTACTGAAGTGGCTAAGAAAAGGGGTCATTCTTCCGGGTGCTTCCAAAAAAAACAAGGCAGGCCTCTTTGGTACCTTCTATAAGAGAACAAGAGGCTCAGTAGAGAAGATGAGTCAGCTGGTGGGTGTTGGAGAGTGGAGGCACCTGGGAGTGGAGTGAGGCAGAGGGATCGCCAGCTGGGGAAGGAGGTAGGACCTGAAGCCCAGAGGTAGCGGTGGAGGCAGAACAGCTGTGTTTATTTGAAGACATATCATTTAACCCTCACCTAAAAACAAATTGGAGAGGTTTGGGAGTGCATTAATCTGGACCCAATTAGCATGTCTTTCTCCTTCCAAAAGTGCAACCTGAGATTAATGAACATCAACCGGAGTTTCAGAGGCGGCACGTAAATCATTTATTTGCATGCTCGTGCATGATAACTGAATTTATGTATGCACTTCCTTTCATTTAACTCTTCCCAGGCTCCTTGCGATTCATAGAAACCAAAACTTCATTATAGTGATTTCTAGGTAGAAATAGCTTGAGTCGCATTTTACCCCTAAAGGAAAAACTTAAGTGGTTAGTAGTTGAATTCCAACGGCACATTTTGTTTTTTCAAATGCAGAGGCCAGTTGGTGATAGGGTGGAATGCTGCTGCTTCTGGAGTTGGTAGATAGGCACCTCAGATATATTCTGAAAGGCTAGAAAAATATGGAAAATTCAAACATCAAGCTTTCGGGGTTTTGGTTCAGCCACGCGTAAGTCTCTTTATAATACCGGGGACAAAGCCACTTAAATGCAGCACGGGAAATGTTCTTGGAGTTTGGATGTGTGTTACTTAGATCACTGAGCAGCTTTAGCACCCAGCATTGTTTCTGGCTTAGTTGGAAACTTGTTTCCTTAGAAAAGGGTGGGGATGCCCTCAACCTCTGTGAATGGCTACAGACAGGCAGGTAGCTCTTGTGGACCATTGATGCTGAGTTTGGTCCTTCCTTCTATTCTTCCTCCCTCCCTCCTTCCCTCCCTCCTTCCCTTTCTTCCTTCCTTCCCTTCCTCCATCCCCCTTTTCTTTTTTTCTTTTTGATTATTTGGATGTAGGTCACTTATTGATGACACAGCACACACAGGTCTTAGGGATCCTCCTTTCCACTTGGTACCACACAAAACATCTGAACACAGACAGTGAGTGTGTAAGAAAGCATCCTGTGGAAGAAAGGAGAAGCAGGAGGTTTGAAATAATTCTCCTGGCTTCAGTTTGTACAGTGATTTGTCTGTCTTCTGTCTCTCCTTATGTGTTTCCAAGTTCAATGTCCAAGTGATGAGCTTTTCTCCAGGAATTCTCCCCAGTGTCCTTTGTTTTTGATGACATTCTATGGTTGAATGTTACTGAGTGTCTCCTGGTCTTGTTTATGGTCCTCGTAGCTAAGAATGTCATTGAAGGATAAAATCTTGTTAATTTGCGATGTTACAATTTAAGTGTGCTTCGTGTCCCTTACAACGCAGCCTAAAAATCTTCTCTAATGTAGCATGAAACGATTGGTTGGCTTAGAAATGGTTGTGAAGGCGTGTGAAGAAAATAAGTTTCACATCCGACCAAGATCCATTCACTCTAGTGCTTTATGGCTTTTTATTCCTATGTGATTGTAATGAAGTCTCATGTAGGGATGGAAGCCATGAAATACATTGTGAAAACGCATCACCTCAGAAGGGGCCATCATCAGGATAGAGCACTGTAGCCTTGGAGCGTGCTGGAGACGCGAGCTAGTGGACAGCTCTGCTACCCTGTCGGTGTGTTCCTTGAGTGTCTTCATCTTTAGGCGTTGACAGCTGAGGAATGGATGTGGCGAGAGTTTTTCCATCTTCCTGACCACCGAGTAACATGCACATCTGACTTGGCGCATTTCTGTCTCTCATGCATTTGCTCCTCCGTTTTTCCTACTAACGAACGAACTCTGGGAAAATCGTCATAGCCCACTCTCCTTGTAGGCAGCGTTCAACCCTTCCGTGACTCTTTTTTTCCCCCTGACAACTTTTGAGGTCTTTCTTCTGAAACCAAGAAGAAATAGACAAACCAGGTTTGTCCTCTTGGGAATGTGGTCCAGATTTCTCTACTCCCAATCTCCAAAATAATAATAATTAAGAAAATGTATACCTCGAATGGGCTAGCTCCATACATAGATCCAAAGATCACGTGAGAGCCATCTTCCTTTTACAGGTGTGGTGTAGTGGAGGGGCCCTTGAGCCTTTGGGGAGGGGATGGGGTTCTGATATCCTCATCAAGTCAGCTATGTGACTGGGGCATGTGAGTTAAACATTGGGACTCCTTCTATATGTTTAGAATGGGGGGGTGGGGGGACCAGTCTCGTTATCAGGATTAAATGAAATGACAGCTCTATACTTTGTCTAACTGTTTGACCTTGACTCTGTTTTAAAAAGCTCATAGAAATATTAGTTTTTCTCCCTTCCTCCCTTCTCCTGTTCCTCTCTCTCCCTGTCCTGTACCCGTTCCTCCTTCAGATGTTAGTCTGTCTAGAACAACACCTGAGGATCTAAGCCGGACCTTGGAGAAAGAAACGACTTCAAGGAAAGACTCCTTTCCCTATGGTTTAATTCCTCACTTTTTACCCGGATTGTATCAGATGCACTCTCAAACTATGCTCACCCTTTCTGCTCTCTGCGTTTTTTGTTTTTTTTTTTTTTTTTTTTTGTTTTTTTTTTTTTTTTTTTTTTTTTTTGCTTGAACTGCTTAGCATTGACTATCGAAATGCATATTCATTCTGGATTTTTAAAAGAGAATTCTAATAAAACCTTATTTGTGTTTGTTTTTAATCTTGTGTCTCTCTGCTTCCTCTATACGACGAGATAGTGTCCTGCATTTTATAAATCCCTGACTTCCATAAGGGGACAAATACGTCTTAGAAGAGATTCCCTGACCGTGCCATAAGGACTCATCCCCTTATTCCTCGTAGCCTGTCAGTGAGTGGGGGGAAATTGCTGGGGTAATTGTAAGTCTGATGATCATTTATCTAGTTATTTAGAATAACTAAAAAATTAGAATTTGAAAGGCACCAAAGTCCATAGAATAATTGTGGGTAAGGAAAAGAACACACATAATGACACTTTAAAAAATTCCACAGTGAGCTTGGCGGTGGTGGCGCACGCCTTTAATCCCAGTACTCGGGAGGCAGAGGCAGGTGGATCTCTGGGAGTTGGAGGCCAGTGTTCGAGGCCAGCCTGGTCTACAAGAGCTAGTTCCGGGACGGGCACCAAAGCTACAAAGAAACCCTGTCTCGAAAGACCAAAAAAAAAAAAAAAAATCCACAGTGATCTATGTGCATTGTTATCAAAGCCAAATCTAGTAAGAGCCAGAACTACCTCATTTGCATCCAGGGTGTTTTTATTATCATCAAGTTTTCCCTTTAGATCTCATGACTACCCATCTTGCGGTTCCTATTTAATGGCCCCAACATTTATGAGATGTCCAAAAAGTTGTAAGCCAGTGTATGGAAAAAGAAGAAATGGGGAAGAGAGGAGGGGAAAGAGATCCTAAGAATTAAATGAGGACTCAAAGAGTTAAAGACTAAGTCACATGAGAAACGTGGTTGTTAAAGGAGGAAAAACGTGTACCCCTGTCCATACTGACCTGCATTTGAAGAGAGCTTAGGAGCACTTGGCCACTCAAGATGAATCCTACAGACAAGCTTAATATGGCGCTCGACATGAGGGACATTCCCTAGAATTGAGGGGCGGGGTATCTGTTAGAAGGTAGAGCAACAGTCACATTTCCATAGGTCAGAGTCAAAGATTTGAAATTCACTTGTTAAAGAATTTATGGAAAGGCTTTATGAATGGTTCTTGAAAAATTTTTCCAACATGCAAAACATTCTACCCTAGAGAAGATATTTACTTGTAAAAATCTTCACAAGTATCATTAGAAGCAGAGGGCCGATTTGAATGGACACTGTCGGCTTAATTAATGACTGCTGGCTCTCAGTGGGCTGCAATTAGCTGTTACCCTGCAGGATAGGATGAATCTGAGTTGTCAGAGTACCGTGAGTTCAAGGAGAGCCATGTGTTTGTGTGCCCCTGTGTGTGCATGTGCTCTCGCTCTCTCTCTCCTCTTTCTTCCTTCCTTTTATGAGATTAGATCTAAACTATAATACTTGGAGGAGTAAAGACAGTTGTCTTTAAGGAGAGCTTCTCTATTGTCACTGGCCTGTTGGGATTATGGACTGGCAATATGTCTCCGAGGACCATTTAAGAGGGCCATAGAGCAGAAGGTTCCAAAGAGAAGCAATCTCATTTGGTAATGAATAGATACATATCCCCCTGCCCTTGCCAGGGTTTTAGTGCCAGCAGCAGGCACATCATGCATCAGGAAAGCATGAGTGATTGACATGCCCCTCCATGAGATGGTCCTGCTCATCAGAAACCTTACTAATGATTGTATGACAGTTAATGGAAGAAAGTATCCGTGGGCTCTGGGTTTGGGTAGCTTAAGAAAGTTGCCATTATCCAATACATTCAAATCCGTGGGTTTGTGGGATCTCCTAAGAAGATGAAATAAAGAGTCCAGAATTCTCTTCTCCTTTGATTAGTAGAACAAACTCTAACCCCATGCTTCACATAGCAGAAAAGAGCCTCATAAAATACACACATACACATGCATACACACACACACACACACACACACACACACACACTGATTTACTCTCTACTATTGTTTTTACCAATATCACCTACAGAGGAGGAATCTGAAACTCCAGACTGAGATGGAGATCCACACAGGAGAGCAAGGACCTAGAAACACTGTGTGTAACAATGAACATGAACCTTGGGCATGAAATCCAGGTTTTTCATCTCTAAACCAAAGCTTAGAATCTAGGGAGGGTTGTCACAGAAAGTACAGGTTCCAGTGTCATTGGCGTGAAAATGCTGATGGCCGCAGTGTGAAGTGGGGCCAGGTTTAAGAATATCTGTTACCCTTCTACTAGATGACCTTTTCCCCTATAAATCTCCTCTGAAGGAAACTCACAGACCTGTGGTAGTTCAACCACAGGTAAAGATAGTAATGCCCCGGCCTTCCAGCCTTGCCTTTGGCCTCTAGTCCTTATCAGAAAGAAGCAGAGTTGATTTAAGGTAACACTCATTATTGTATTCGGTCAGCTTCCCTCCCATCCTTGTGTTTGAGCAATGCCAAATGCTTTTAGGCAAGACATGTAATTACACAGGTGCATGTTTTAGCAGAGAATACACAAGCAATTTGTAGTTTAAAATTAGTCCTCACAATGAAAGCTCATGGGTCTTTGCTTGAGTTCCAAGTCCTTATAAGTCACACCTAGGTCCTCATGGCCTATTCTCAGGCATCTTTCTGAATTATCTACCACATTCTCCCAGCTCATCTATTCATGCTATCTTATTCTGGGAATATACCAAACTGACTTCTTCTTCAGAGCCTTTGATGGTATGGTTTCTCACCCTGATTAATTTTCTGAGACATCTACCTATGTGTCTCATGATGTCTCACTGCCTCAGGACTCTTTTGATAAAAATTTCAGAAATCTCTTGATATTTGGTCTGATTGCCTTTTATAAAATTGTGTCTGCCCCTCCTCTGGATTCCAGACTCCTTATCCGGATTGGTTCCTTTCCATGGATAAAACCGACTTTTCTCTGGTATACTACTGCTACATATTTACCTGTTTGCTTGTTTTCTGTGTTATTCTGCCAGAGCAGAACATAAGTGGTAGGAGATCAGGAATGAATCTGTCTCTGTTGATGACTGTTCTTTCCCAAAGCCGAGAATCACATCCACATCAGGTAGACAAAAACTGGCTGGAGTTACTGTGTATCTGAAAATTCCTAGCATTCAGGACTCCAGATATTGTGGTTATTTAGTGCCACAATGAAATGAGCACAGTTCTCACTGCATGAATTAAGTGTGCATCTTGTCACACATAGAACCTCGCTTTCCCACCTAAGACCCTTGCTCCACTATATCTTTACCCATTCAAGATTTTATCCATGTCCTTCTTGGAATAAATTCAAAATTAGAAGTTAACAGGTAGGTAGGTGTCATAGGCCTGTAATCCCGGCATTTAGGAGGCTGAGGCAGGAGGGCCACAGGTTCACAAATTCAAGGCCAGTCTGGGTTACATAGCTGTTGCCTCAAGATTTTTTTTAAAAAGCATTATATTCATTTGTGTGTGTGTGTGTGTGTGTGTGTGTCTTCACACATGTGAACAAGCTACTTTCTAGATATGATACGCTAACCCTACTCTTCAGAGAAGTAAAATGCAGAGGACTCCATTGACTACTTAAATGTCAACATTGGGCTGATTTCTACAAAGTTAGCCAGATCTTCTGAACTTCCTTTGAGTCATTTTGCCTTATTTTTTCAATTTAAGAAATTTTCTAGAAATAATTGATTATTTTAGAAGTCAAAGGAAGCCCAAGATTCCACTTCAGCACTGCTTCCAACCCTCATCCCCACACTATCCTTCTGAGGACTTGTAGCTTGTCACCATTCTACTGACAGAACTTAGGGCCATAGACTTGGGATAGTTAAGGAAAGCAGTGCTTGAAAATGGTGGAAACCATGAGTTAGCTAAAAAGAATAGGAGTATACAACGCCACCCTAAAATGTCAATAGCTCCCTGCCCTTATGAGAATGAGTGTCAAAGTGTCCAAAGAATTATCTCTTGATGCTGAGAGATGAAGGATGCTCATGACATGTTGTATGAAATGCAAGAGGTCTAAAATTCTGAGCTGTTTACCCAGAGCACAATATTGTTTACTGGCCAGCATTAATGCCTCTAAAGAAAATGTAAGAGCCCAGGTAGAACAGATGACTCAGATTGGCAGGTGTACCCATCAGAAGCCATGAGGAATGATTTGACTATGGGTTAGTATGGTTGTGCGGACAGGTGTGTGTGTGTTTGTGTGTGTGTGTGTGTGTGTGTGTGTGACACAGGTGGGGGGGAGGGAGGGAGAGGGAGAGAGAGAGAGAGAGAGAGAGAGAGAGAGAGAGAGAAGAAGGGAGAGAGAGCCATTCAGTTGAGGAACCTAAACTTACTTGAAGCTCAAGGGCAGAAAAGGCCCACTTGGAAATATTGCAGCAAGAGCGAAGAATCCAGAGCTCAGCTAGATCTGTCCTCAGACTCACTGAACAGGACTGGCTGCTTTTGAGGTGGGTCTTCTACAGCAAGAAACCTAGTCAATATAATCTTTCAAAGGCATGGCCAGAGGCTGACTGAACCTAGATATCCTCTCATTGATTTGTCTGGATGCTTATGTTTTAGATCATCCTCAAGTCTATCAAGATGATTACAGTAGCTACCACAGCTTTCCAATAGCCCATTAGACTATGAGTCCATACCTGGGCTGATCCATTGATTCTGATCCACCAGGTTATTACTTGTGATCCAGCCACCTCCCAAAGGCCCCACCTCATTGAGGGCTGAGCCCATGAACACTTAAGCTTTTGGAAGACCTTTGTGATCCGAATCATGACACCCTGGCTTTAAAGGCAATGGTTTCTTACTTGAGAAACTAGAATGCACAGAGTCCATAACCCACTGTGTTGCAATTTCCATACCTTATTTAAGGATTCAAGGCAGTTCAGTCTTCTGATTCCTGCCCGCCCCCTGACACACGCACATACACATAAAGGTG